ATATATTGTGCTATTTATTAAGTTGTCTAGACAATATATGCTTAAATGGTCATCCATGCTTGTTGAAACAACCACACACACGCACCATTATTACAGTACATGTCTTTCCCCTCATTAATCACTCATTAAGGGTGTAGAAGAGTTATGCTTAGTGGTGATCTCTAAACCCCAAGATCTCTCTCTCTTATTTTACCTCTATTTCATTATTGTTTACTTTAGTTTAATTGCATCTTAGCCTAATTCAACCACCAACCAATCCTTTGATCACTCGACCTATTAACTCTAATCTTGATTCCACAACCTTTTACGACCCTCACAATCCCTTGGGACGATCCCTTCTCACTCATACTACATAGTATAGGTGTTAAGCGGTTTATAAATTTAAATTATGGTACCCACTTGACACTAATTTCCAAACTCAAAGTGTTATGCATTGTTTTGTGCACACGCCCTCTAAGCCATCATTGGTAACGGATATTAGAACCCCAAAATGCGCGTCATGAAAAACTGTGTTTTTGGCTAAATGTGAAAAATGAATTTTTAAAATAATGATTATTTCAAAATAATTTTTCCCAATAATAACTCTTTATACTTCAACTGGCCTAAATTGATTTTATCAGAATTTTTTATTAAGTCTACATTAGTCTACATAAGAATTCATTTTTTCCAAAATTGTCAAAAATCCAAATTTGTACTAAAACTGAATTTCTACATTTTGATTTAGTTGAATTTCAATTTTCTAGTATTTTTTATTGAATCCAAATGGAGGTACTTCCTTATTTACATTGTAAACTTAAAGTAAATAGATATATAAATACTGTAAAGACATTTACTTAAATGTTTTCAATGGAAATAAGGTATGTGCAGATGTCCTGTAGAAAAACTATCTCATCTGTTAACTTAGAACAAAATTTCTGAAGTAGCAGTTTCATTTCGGCAAACCGAAATGTATAAGCAAATCATTCCGGACGATCGGTTTGGGCAGTAACTATGCAACAAGGCCTCAGGCTATTTCGGACAACCAAAATAAAAAGCCTATTCATTTCGGCTGACCGAAATAAATTGGTCTAAAGGCATCCTGTCATCTCAGACGACCGAAACAAAGTGTTGATTCATTTCGGTCGACCGACTTAATGCAGATTCAAACTTGAACGACTATTTTGCCTTAAAACTCGTGCACAATAGCTATATTTTTGAATTAGCTGCATCAAAACTCTATAAATAGAGCTGGGGACTTTGGGATTTAATGTTGCTACCATAGAGAAACATCATATAACATCCAAAGAGCTTTTGTTCTTCTATTCATACATCTCATATCATTGGAAGAGTATTGTGCTTCATTGTATTTATATATATACCCTAGAGTGACCTAAACGTTGTACATCAAATCTACGAATATAGATCAGTCAATGATTTCTTTAGTTATATGAGATGATTATGACCCCTAGCCCAATTAAAGAGAGGAATGAGAAAAAACAGCAAACTCGGAATTTTTTTCCACCAACAAACTCAGAATTGAAAAGGAGAAAAAATGGCTTTTGCTCGACATAACGGATGATGGCAATTCATAAATTTTGCCTAATGGATACTTTAGTCATTTTGCATCCTTAATTAATATATCGTTGAATATGTTACCCCTCTGATAGTTGAGGGAGGTTTTTTGGAATAAAAATAGTCAGTGGGGGTTTAGTGAAAAAACGTGAAAGTCAGAGCGGATTTTTTGGACTTTGCCCTAAATTTAATTAAAAAGCCACTTTATTTTTTTTTCATCTAAGGCCTCATAATTTATTGAGCCGCCCCTGTCGGCCGCCGCCGAGGGGGGGGGGGTGGTTCCTTTTTATAAATTCAATGAAGTTAAAACAGTAATTTTTTTGAACTTGTTGTGGGGTAATCCAGGTTTCAGTATTTTTGTACAATTGAATTGATAGGTCATCATGCTGTGCATGTGTTAGGACAATTGGCAGTTGTGCAGAGTTGATCAGTGGGAAAAGAAAGTGCAGAGTTGATCAGTGGGAAAAGAAAAGGCAGTGTGAAATTGATTAACATTTCAAAACCAATAGTGTCCACTTAAAATTGATTCCAGCTCAAAATCACCGATTGCTGGCCCCCACGATCCCATCAATATATTTTTACTGACACAAAACGATGAAATTAGCCCCACTACTCTAAATCAATTATCCAAACAATGTCTTATCAAGAGTGTCCAAAATTTATGTTAATTGAGTTATAGAAGGGCTCATTTGTAATTAATGTAATTACACTTCATCATTTAATTAAATACATGTCAGTCAAGTTCTTCCTCTTGATCTAGAAAATTCTCAAAAATCACAAAATGCGTCCCCAAAAATCACAAAATTCAAAAGACTTGATATTGACACAATTCTAGGTTATTACTCTTTCTTCTTTGTATATATGCACACACGCTAATATATGCACAAGCCTCATGTATGATCTTCATTTAGTCCTCTTTTTTTCTTAATATATATTTATTATTTTGGTAAATTTCTTTCTGTATATTAATTTTTATTTTGGTAAATTTATCTCTGTATATATGCACATTTAGTCCTCAATCGGTGGCAAAAACCCAAACACAGGTAAGACAGACAAATATGTGAAGAGAAAGGTAGAGGAGAGACTAATTGTAGAGAGAGAAAAAGAATGAACTAAATCATTGCAGAAAGAGAGAGAATTTGCAACCTTGCAAATTTTTTAAATCTGTTGAAATCTTGTAGAGAGAGAAACACGTCGTTGTAGGGAGCCCAGAGTTTCAGAAGGGTAGTTTAGTAATTTTATATGCCAAAGAGAGTGTATTTCAGTAATTTTGTATTTAACGGTCTGACACATATAAGAAAGGTCCGTGTAAAATATTTTTATTCTTAGGGAAGGTCTTTTTAAATTTTCAAATTTAAAAAGAGATTTCTGTAATTATGTTAAATCATAGAGGAAGTTTGTATAAATTACCCTTAACAAATTCAATGAAGTTAAAACAATAATTTTTTTAAATTTGTTACAGTGTGTGATCAAGGTTTCAATATTTTTGTACAATTGAATTGATAGGTCATCATCCTGTGCGTGTTAGGACAGTTGACAGTTGTGCAGAGTCCACGTGATTAACATTTCAAAACCAATTGCTGGCCCCCACGATCGGATCCATCTATTTCTACCGACACAAAACCATGAAATTAGTCCCACTACTCTAAAGCAATCGTCCAAACAATGTCTTATAAGATTGTCCAAAGTTAATGTTAATTGAGTTACAGGTATATAATATTTAATTGTTAAAATAAGTCAAGTTAGACACATATCAGTTCTTCAAAATACAAATTTTTTAAAATATTTCGTTGGGTACAATTCACACTTTGATGTTCTTTTCTTCTTTCTCCATCTGAATGTGCAAGGTACTAAGGTGGCCTTATGTTTAATTTCGAAACTCCCTGATGATTGTGGGATTTTTTCATAAATAAAAAATATATTTCTTTTTATATGAAAATCAATTTAAATTTAAATTAAACTGTCATTGTCTTTAAAGGCCTGAATATATAGGATTTTAATACGTGTCCATTGATGGAATCCGTATTTACAAAATTTAATTGGTTAACAATATTTGACTTCTTAATCAATTGGACGGCTATGATGTCAGCACAAAATTTAAGTGTCTACATTCTCTCTATTTATGTACGTGGGAGACACTCTGGACATGGAGACACCTAGCTTGGACGATCAAGCACAGCTGGAATTTGAAAACACAATTGATTGGGTTTCATCAAGTAGCATAATTAATTTTGGAGACACCTACAACGCTAGGGATGTCAATTTTTATCGCCCCGCCGGGGCCCCGCCCCGTCCCGCCCCGTTAATAACGGATATGGGAACACTTGTTATACCGTTGGGGCGGACATGGATATAAATTTTGTACCCGTCGAGGGTCACGGGGCGGGTAAGGGTTCAATATACATATCCTAGGGGCCCCGCCCCGCCCCGCCCCACCCCGCATATAACTATATTTAATATATATATATTAATAAGTTATTTTAGCGGCTTACCCAATTACCCATCTCTTATAATCCTAATTTGGGATGTAAACTTGGTATTAAATTTGTTTTTGTTTTGGTTATGGTGGAAGTTGGAGCTTAGAACTTCTTGTGATTTGGTTGTATTAAACTTTTATTTTTGTTTATTATGTTCTCTGAATTATATTATGTGCATGTTATTTATTTATTTTTTATTAGGATACATAATTTTATTTATGTTGTGTCATTCCTAGGCTTTGCACATTTAAATAGCAGGAGTTTAAGTTCCAAAAAGTGGGAGAAAAAAATTTGTTAGTGGGGCGGGCACGGGGGTACAGTATTTCCTAACGGGGCGGGGTTGGATATGAAAATCCAACCCGTCGCAGGTCTCGGGGCGGGCATGGACTTGACAAAAATTAAAAGGGGCGGGGCGGGATTTAGAGAAACCCGCTCCAAACCCGCCCCGTTACCATCCCTATACAACGCCCCTTTGCCTAGGATTTTATGTATAGTTTTCATATTTGAATATATTGTGATTGTGATAATGGGTGAGCTAGGCAAAGGGAGCTAGGAATTTTTATATTATATTTTAAAAAAAATAAGTGAATGAAAAATGAATAAGAACCGAGAAAGAGGTTATTGTGTATAAATAATATATGAATGAAACAAAAAGAAAAATTTTAAGAAAAAGAATAAAAAAATTTATATATATATGAGACTTAAAGCATCTCGCTCGCTTTAGAAAGACTTTTTTAAAAAAAAGTTTTTTGATAGAAGAAAGAGAAGTAATTTTTTTTTATAAAGAAAATGAAAAGAAATACGAGGAACAAATATATATATATATATATATATATATATTCTTAATTCTTAATTCTTAAAAAACAAAACCACTCAAAAAAAAAAAAAAACCGAATCAAACAGACCTTAAACTGCAATGTGTTACTAATTCAAAATGATCATCCTGTGCATGTGTTAGAATAGTTGTGCTACATAGTTGATCAGTGTCAAAAAGTGAGTCCATCACTGAAAAAGCAGATTCCTCAGAAAATGGATTCCAGCTCAAAAGCAACAATAGTGGCGTGTCAAATCGTAGAGGAGGTATAAAAATCAATTAAATAAATATGATACCAACTTACCCAGTCCAACTTTCTATCCCAATCAACTCGTAAATTTCTTACTAATTGCCATTATCTTCAACTTCAAATTGCTACACTTAATTGTGTAGTTCTATCATTGCGGGACACAGTGTAGGGAGCAAAAGGAGACAATGCACTAGACTTAATTGTGTTGTATTCGGTTCATCTGTTCCTTTTTCTTTTATCATTTGGCTCCCCACTCTCTTTCCTCTTTTTATTCCAAACAAAGTTTTTCCACACAATTGAGAAATGATCTGAAATTCCTTCTGCCTTTTACTTACTAAAATTCATACCAAGATTGAGGACTCTTGTAATCGATCTATTATTGTCTCTCTATTGTTGTCTTGGGAGAAATTAAGAAGATCTGAGAGAATGGCTGAGAGTGTAGTAGCTTTTTTGCTCAATCACTTGGACATCTTCCTTCAACAAGAGTCGAGCCTCTTGGGAGGAATAAGGGAAGAAGCTGAGTCCATCAGAGATGAATTGGTGCGCATGAGGGCTTTCCTCAGAGTAGCTGATGAAAAACAAGATATTGACCCACAGCTCCAAGCATGGGTTGACCAAGTTCGTGATGTTGCCCATGACACCGAAGATGTGCTTGACGAATTCATGCTCCGCTTCTCACGTTATCATGGGGATGGATTCTATGGTTTTCTTCGTAAGATTTGTTGCTCTATTAAGAACTTGAAAGCACGCCGTCGAATTGCTTCTCGGATACACAGAATCAAGTGTAGAGTGAGTCAAATTGCCGAGGGACATCAAAACTACAGCACTGTCTCAGAGCAAGGCTCGACCTCCACCACTGTCAACAACACATGGTATGATCGTCGAGGTGATGCACTTCTACTGGAAGAGGCTGAGCTTGTGGGCATGGATGGGCGCAAGAAGCAGCTGATTGGGTGGCTTGTGGAGGACAGTCCAAGACTCAAAGTCGTTTCGGTGGTGGGGATGGGGGGTATGGGAAAAACCACCCTAGTAAAGAAAGTCTATGATGATATGGAGGTGAAGAATCATTTCCAATGCCATGCTTGGATCACTGTTTCTCAATCATTTAATCTCAGAGAGCTTCTCCAAGATGTAATTCGGAAACTCTTCGATGAAGCCAAGCAACAGGCCCCTCAAAGATTGGATACCATGGACAGCAATGACTTGAAAGCGGAAATCAAAGATTTCCTTCAACAGAGAAGGTACGTGCTTGTTTTAGATGATGTATGGCAAATACATGCATGGGATGCTTTGAAATATGCATTCCCTGACAACAATAGTGGCAGCCGAATACTGCTCACGACGCGCATTGTTGATGTCGCTTCTACGTCTTGTGTAGAATCTCCTGATCACATCTATACTATGAAACCATTGTCCCCAGAAGAGTCTTGGACTCTGTTCTGTAGGAAGACATTCCAAGGTAACCACTGCCCTGAACTTTTAAAGGAACTCTCACGAAGTATCTTACAAAAGTGTGAGGGCTTGCCACTTGCGGTTGTGGCAATTAGTGGTGTTTTGGCTACCAAAGACAAAAGTAGAGTGGATGATTGGGAATTATTTTACCGCAGGCTTGGTGATGCTCAGTTAGAAGTCCACGACAAACTTGAGAGCATGAAAAATATACTCTCTCTGAGTTACTATGATTTGCCTTGCTATCTAAAAATATGTTTTTTGTATTTGGGTTTATTCCCTGAGGATTACGAGATTGAGCGCATGAGATTGATTCGACTGTGGATCGCAGAAGGATTTGTGAAAGAGGAAGGGCGAGTGACAATGGAAGAAGTTGCTGAAGGCTATCTCAAAGAGCTTATTAATAGAAGCTTGGTCCAAGTGGCAAAGAGAGATAATTTTGGAAGGCTCAAAGAGTGTCGTATCCATGACCTTTTCCGTGAAGTAATTACTTCAAAGTCAAGAGAACAAAACATTGCAGCCATGGTAAGCAAAGAAAGCACAACGTGGCCCGAAAAAGTTCGGCGCCTGTCAATTCAGTACACCTTGGGGAACTTGCAGCAGACAAATCGTTTTCCTCAACTCCGTTCCTTGCTCATGTTCTCGGTGGAAGAACCTATATCCAAGTCGTTGAATCCTATATTATTCAATGGTGGGGTTAGGTTGTTAAGGGTTTTGGACCTGAGGGGTGCTTCTTTGAAGATACTTCCAAATGAAGTTGGCAAACTATTTCATCTCAGGTATTTAAGCTTGAGGGGAACAGAGGTTGAAACGCTTCCGAAATCCATAGGTAAGCTTGAAAATCTTGAAACTTTGGATCTCAAATACACTAATGTAACTGAGTTGCCTGTTCAGATTCTAAAGCTCCAACGTCTTCGTCATCTCTTGGTGTACAACTACAACTTGGATACATATGGCTTTAAAGCAATAGTGGGAATAGAAGGTTTGTCTTCCTTACAAAAACTCTGTTTTATTGAAGCGAACCATGAGAATGGTAGAATTGTAATGGGAGAGCTAGGGAGACTGACCCAGTTGAGGAGATTGGGGATTACGGAGTTGAGAAGGGAGGATGGGAAGGCTTTGTGCTCCTCTCTTGAAAAGCTGAGTAACCTTCAATCATTGGACATAAGTTCTGTAGAACGGATGGAGGGGATTGTTGATATTCAACAATTGTCTTCTCCTCCTGGGTCTCTTCAACGGCTCTATTTGAGGGGACGTTTAGAAAATTTGCCCCATTGGATAACTTCTCTTCATAACCTGGTGAGATTGCGGCTTTGGTATAGCAAGTTAAGGGATGATCCATTGCAATCCCTTCAAGATTTGCCCAATCTGTTAGAAATTGAACTTTTTAAGGCTTACCGAGGGGAGGAAATGTGTATCAAATCGACAGGGTTTCAGAAGCTTAAGATATTAGAGCTTTACAGCTTAGAAGGATTGAGGTGGGTGAGAATGGAGAAGGGATCGTTGCCTCATCTTGAAAAGCTGACTATTTGGAAATGTGAGTTGTTGGAAGAGGTACCCACTGGCATTCGACATCTACTAAGTCGGTGAGATGATTAGTACTGATCAGGTCACCTAATATTTGCTTTTATTTTATTTTTATAGGATAACTGATTTGTTTTTTCTTTTGTTTTTCTTTTTCACTTTTTAATATATTATGTTATTTTATTTTTATAGAATAACTGATTCGGGGTATTCAGTTGGGAAGGAAATTATGTAGAGAGAGAAATGGAGAAAGCTAGAGTCCTTGGATAGTTGTTGAGATCTTCACTATCTAATGTTTTGTTTTTATTTTATTTTTATGGATAACTGATGTTGTTATTATTTTCTCCTTTTCAAGTAATTAAGTTGTTGTATATTGTGTTACATTGTTCACAAGCCCAAGCTCACCTACAGTTTTTTTTTTTTTTGTTTTTTTCGATAATTAAACTCACCTACGGTTCTGAGTTTATATTTATTCATTGTTAATTTTTATGTAATGCATTTCATTTTATAGAGACAATGTATAAAAAAAAAGGTCAAATTCAAGAACTTGGACTCCAACAATATTTATAAGGTTGTCCAATTGTGTCTTTGTTGTTTACTATTTAAGGTAAGGTAGTGTTTGGAGGAGCCCTTCAAGGAGTAGGCACTTTGATACCGAACCAGCAACGTTGAGTACATGGAGCGATTGAATAGTCAAGTTTAAAAACTACTTAAAATTAATTCAAAATTCAACCAATCATAACTTTCAATTCGGGTAGAGTTCAAACGGACCCATAAGATACCATGAAAACCTTGAGACAAGTTTTACAATTTTTGCCAACCTCATTTACGAGATTATAGTTGTTTTCAAACTCAAAATTTGGCGATAGGACAACTTTGTGACGGATTATATGACAACTTAACTTTGTGTATTTTGAATGCTATTTTACCAAGCAAATACATGGTAGGTTTGAGAGAGAAAATAGGAAAAAAAAAAAAAAAATTTATGATAAAATTTGAACCCTAACATAACACTTTTGATAAACGTTTTAGGGGTTAACTCTTTTTTTTCAATAAAAACCTAAATTTCTCAATCAATTTTTATTTGTGAGTAATTAAATAAATACATAATCCACTTAAAGTTTTTTAAAACTATATTTTGAGTCCTCTTTCATTTGAATAAGAATCCTAATTTCCTCAACGATCTACATGTGTGAATTATTTGATAAATTGATCAATAATCTTCATATTTATTATAATTATAAAGTCGAGAGTGCATAAGAGCGTGTATATATATATGTGTGTGTGTGATAAAAGTAGAGAAAAGAAAATTAAAGAGAGAAACTTAATTTAATTTTCGTTCTCAATTCTCCTTCAATGAATAATTCATACAAATGGGTATATACATTATTCATCTTTGAACTTATCTACTTTCTTAATTTAAGTATAAATTAAATACATTAATATTTCAACAAGAAAGAAAAAGTGTAATATCTATTAAAATTAAAGACATATACGTCTTTCAAATTCGAGATACATACCACGAATTTTTGAGCTGTGTAGCATTGCTCCAAAACATACCAGATTTATATTTATGAAATCTCAATGAGAAAAAACCACAAAATTAATAATCCATATTAAAGCATTCTACTGGATTGAAGCAAAGAAACCACATTGCTAAACTCAAACACAACCAAGCCGAGTTGCTCCAGACCTCAAACTCACTCCCACCGTCTTGCAAACGAGTCGCTAACCTAAAAAACAATTGCTTCGCGAACAACTTACTCCCTTCGTAGTGATTTAGTACTCTTCCAAAAAATATTAGTAGTCAAAATGCGGGTGAGTAGATAAGTAGTATCTGTCGAAATAAAATTAAAAAAGGTAGACAAGTATTGTCCAGAAAGAAAAAGTCCACAAGTATTTAATGTCTATCAAGATGAATTGACACAAAATGATGAAATGTATATCAAGATTGTCCAAACAATGGTTATACCATCATGCATAATTTTGTACCAATCCAGCTGTGTCACATTAGGGTACAAAATTTAATTAAGCTATGTTAGGGAGCACTGCATAAGCATAAAGCGTTTCAAAATTGAAATCAGAGAAATTTTATTGAAAATTTAATTTAAGTTTTCTTTAATTTCAATTACAAAGGAATTAGTGCTTCAAAATGCAACATTATTTTCAACCATCAAGATCTAACAACTTATCTATATATATATATATATATATATATATTGCAGTTCCTATATATTATGTAACTTGAAGCTGCTCATAATAACCAACTTTCTACCCAGATAACTGCCAAATTTCTTACTAATTGTCATTTTCGCCTTGAAATTGCTCTAAAAAAAAAAAAAAAAAGAACTAGATTTAATTGTGTTGGTATTTAATATATATCAGGACAGTGTAAGTCCCAAAAGTTGATGATGCACTAAAGAACTAGACTTAATTGTGTTGTACTTGAAAAATAAAATTCAAGAACTCAAAATATATAAAACAGTTTTGAGAGAATTATAAAAGACAATTCTATAAAAATGAATAAGGATCACCTCTTATGTTTGGATCTTATGCTTACACAAAACAATACATTGGTTACGCAAACAATATATCAGTTACGAATCAGCAATGTAAAGTTGTTACTTAAGCAATGTAAGTTAGTTGTTACAGTTGTTACATAAGCGATATAAAATTGTTGAGTAAGTTTGTATTGACAAGATACCCCGAGTTTAACTGATGAATAATGAATGTCATTGTAAAATTGATAAATGCGAAGAAAAAAAAAAAAAAAAAAAGGTATCAAAAAAGGGTCAACCAAAATTTGAAATTCAAAGCAGATATCATTTAAATGTCTTGTCAAGATTTTCTGGAGCAATGCCCATTTTTTGGCTTTGAGCTGGAATCAACCTAAATAATTTTTTTTTTTGATAAGTAGAATCAACCTAAATAATTACCACATACCAATCCGGTTCTACCAAAATCTGAAATTCCATCTGGAAAGTCTGGCAATTGAAATCTATTTTCTATCTATTCTTCTCTGGGAGAAATTAAGAAGATAAGAGAAAATGGCTGAGATTTCACTAACTTTTCTGCTCGACCACCAGACAATCTTCCTTCGAGAAGAGTAAGAACTCTTGGGAGGAATAAGGGAAGAAGCTGAGTGCGTCAGAGATGAATTGGAACGCATGAGGGCGTTCTTGAGAGTAGCTGATGCAATGGAAGAGTGTGACCTTGAACTCCAAGTATGGGTTAAGCAAGTGCGTGAAGTTACCTACGACACTAAAGATGTACTGGACGAATTCATGCTCTGCCTTACTCGTCATCATGGGGACGGATTCTATGGTGTCCTTCGTAAGCTTTCTCACTCTATTAAATACTTGAAAGCTCACCATCGAATTGCTTCGAAGATACAAATAATAAGGTCTAGAGTGAATATAATTGCTGAGTGACATCAGAAATACTGTTACAAATTTAACGTCTCAGAGCAAAGCTCAAGCTCCAATACTGTCAATAACACGTGGTATGATCGTCGCGGTGATTCACTGCTACTGGAAGAAGCAGAGCTTGTGGGCATTGATGAAAGTCTATGATAATATCGAGGTGAAGAATCATTTTAAAAGCCATGCTTGGATCACTGGTTCACAATCCTTTGATCTCAGAGAGCTTCTCAAAGACTTAATTCAACAACTCTTTAATGAGTCAAGAAGCTGGCACCTCAAAGATTGGAATCCATGGACAACAATAATCTGAAGGCACAACTCAAGGATTTCCTCCAACTGAGAAGGTACGTGCTTGGTCTTGATGATGTGTGGAGTATAAATGCATCGGATGCTTTAAAATACATTACCCAACAATAATTGTGGCAGTCAAATACTACTCACAACACACATTAGAAAAGTAGCTTCTATCTCTTCCATAGAATCCCATGCTAACATCTACACTATGGAGCCACTATCTCGAGTCATGGACTCTGTTTTGTAGGAAAACATTCCAAGACAACAGTTGCCCTCCACATTTAGACGAACTCTCACGAAGTATCTGTAAATAAGATGCGGCTGTGGATCATCCTTCAGCTTCCATTATTTTTTTTTATACAGTATTAAGTATAAAATACTATAGACATATATATATTATGTATATATATGATATGATTCAGCAAATATATTATATAATATATATGAGATTAACTTTTGGGATTGGCAAGTGGGAAAAGGATGGACACATGTAAAGTTGATTGATGCCAATATATAACCTCTAGCAGTTAAACGTGGGAACAAATAAAATTGATTTGACTTTTTGGAATTAGTATATTTAGTACAATAAAATATATATAATCAGTATACAAAAAGAGTAACAATCAAAAGGGTGCAGATGATGAATTATGATGAGGAAGTGCGGATGACTCTAACCCGTGAAAGTGCGTGAGTGAGTCTCATCCGCATGTCATTGTAGGAACATTCAGTCGCATGCTTGAAATAATAGCAAGGGTGGGATCCGTCCCTAGGACCATTGGAAGATATTTACGTATATGTATCCGAATGTTATTTGTTTCTTTAACGAATTACCAATTGATGCGTGGGTCAAGGAATTTTTGAAAGACCAGACTATCGTAGCATTAAAAACTAATTTATGCTAGCCGAACAAAGTAGGGAATGTGATAGGCTGGCACAAGTAGAAAGCCATGAAGAAAGAAGGACTCGAGCAATGGTTCGGCATAGTAATTACCTTGTCACTGAGTCACGGCATTACAACAAGAGGGTATAGCCGCGAGTCGTCCACAAGGGTGATTTGGTCTTAAAAACTGCGACAACACTAATGCGGGGTCAAAAGCCTCTAAAAATCAGGAACAATGGGAAGGTCCATTTATAGTCATCGAAGCAATATCTAGTAGACACGACAAGTCAGTGGATCAGAAGACTGGATTCCAGACAAGACTATTAAATGCCAAATGGATAAAGAAATATTACTCCGCTATTCACTTTGTATTTGATTTTAGCATACTTAGCCATTCGCTTTGTATTTTATTTTAAGCATACTCGGCTATTCGCTTTGTATCCATTTCTAGCATACTTAGCTTATCACAATGTATCTTGCAAGCTTATTGGTTTTAAACCTCTCTTTCAAGAAATTATAATCAAGTAGATATAGGTAGTTTTTCAAGATACTTATATTTCCTTTATAAGGATTAAATTGTTTCTTAAAGTTAGACTTAGAATATTTTAAGAAGCTTTATTGAATTATAATAACTTTATAATTTGTAAAAAGGATTTCCTGAAATTAAAGGCGCGTGTACGTGTTCTAATAAGTATTTCACACGCATACAAGGGGGCAACTGTAAATGTGGGTATGCACACTTATAAATATACAGCGAAATATATTGAGTCAAGCACTCAAAGACACCCGTGTAACTGAGTTGCCTGTTCAGATCCTAAAGCTACAAAGACTTCAGCATCTCTTGGTGTATCACTACACTCTTGGTCTTGGACATTATCGACCTTTCCATAGTACACATGGTTTTAAAACGACAGTGGGAATGGAAGGTTTGTCTTCCCTTCAAAAACTTCGTTATATCGATGCGAACCATGACAATAGTAGAATTGTAGTGGGAGACCTGGGGAGGCTGACCCAACTGAGGACATTAGGGATTACAAATTTGAGAAAATAAGATGGGATGGCTTTGTGCTCTTCCTTTGAAAAGCTAAGAAACCTTCGCTCATTGAAGATAGGTTCAGTAGAAGAGGATGAGATCATTGACATTCAATTTTTCTCTTCACCTCTTCGGTTTCTTCGATGGCTCCATTTGAATGGCCGTTTAGAGAAGTTGCCGCATTGGATACCCTCTCTTCATAACCTAACGGCACTATGGCTGTGTTGGAGCAAGTTAACGGATTATCCACTAGAATCCCTTCAATATTTGCCCAACCTGGTAGAGATTGGACTTAATCTGGCTTATGAAGGGAAGGAAATGTGTTTCAAGACCGGAAAGTTTCAGAAGATGAAGACATTGAGGTTTGTAAGCTTAAAAGGATTGAGGTGTGTCAATGTGGAGGAAGGCTCAATGCCACTTCTTGAATTTCTAGAGATTACCAACTCCGAATTGGAGGTGCTCTCAGGCATTGAACATCTAACCAACCTTAAATTCCTTGACCTTTATGATGTGCCCGAGAAACTGATTATGACACTGGATCCTCACAAACAAGGTGTGGATTGGAGCTCAAAAAGATGGTGAATGGGAAGGATATCATCTAGACAAGAGAACAGGTTGATGAGAGAAAGTGACATGACCAGTGTGTATCATATTATCTTGGTCGCATACCGGTAGTTTGATATATTTGTAAATACTAGAACTTTAATTTTTGTAATTGTATCGATTCTAATTTATAACTGGAAAAACTAATTATGAAGTTTATCCGCATGCTTGATACACAAGTTAAGAGTTTTACTGTACAATTATTTGAAAAATAAAATGAGTATGTATTTTAAATTGTATGTATGCTTATTGAAGTCAAGTTGCATATTGAGGTACATAAATTGTATGTATACAAATGACTTTTAGCCATGATTTTAGCATGCTAATTTAATCTAACATAATGTTATTTGAAGTCTTCTGCATGCTGTTTTTTTCCTTATTATACCAATTAATTGGATAGATTTATGTATCTCAAGGTCAATCTGAAAGTGAAGTTTTTTTTTTTTTGTTCAGAAGTTAAATATGATGATGTTGAAGTGTTAAAAATTCAAAAACTATTCAATAAAGGGTGTAAATGAGGAAAAGATTAAATACTTTTAGCCATAAGCTCCAGCCTCCAGGCCTCCAAAAATGCCGAAAACAACAAGTAAAAAACATCTATGCATCTATGATGAGGCAAACAAGAATCAACAACCAAAATTCTGCAGGACACATTAAAAGAAGAAAACACCAAATAAAAAATAAAAACAAAATAAAATAAAACAAAACAAAACAAACAAACAAATGGAAATCCAAAATACTGGTGGTTTCAATGACAAACTCATTGTTACGACCCTTCCTCCCACATTCTCTATCGATATATCTCTATCTTTATATGTGAACTTTGGGAGAGAAAAAAATGGCATCTAAACCCTAGTATTCAGCTTGTTGGATTAGGAAAAGTGTGGTTCTAACTAATAAACTAAAATTTGGGTCATAGACTTCTATATAGTTTTGTTTGGTTCTTTATTGGTATTTCACAATTTCATTTTTCTAAAATATATTTTCAAATTAATAATCAAGGGTACTTCTGTGATTAGACGTCACACGGATCTTTTTGGGTCTCTAAGTTGCTTTATTGTGAAGTAATGTATTATGAAAAAAAATTAAAAAATTAAAGTTAAGAAAACTATTTTACAGGCAAGAACAGTTCCTCTTTGTTTATTCAGACTCTGTCAGGCACTTAATTCATCTAAATCTGACAATAATCCATATGTTCAATATATTAATATTTTGTTCCATTTATTGAAATCTGTTTACTTCTCTGTTTTTATCATTCCACTCTCCGCATATCTTTTATTCCATAGAAGGAATATTTCCACCGATGATAAAATATGCTTAAGAAATAATATATAGTTTTAGGTTTCCGGCAGAATAAAATCCACCAGATTCAAATATGCTTTTGCTTTATTCAAAAGTAATTGGCATTCCCTCCACCCAAAGGCTTAATCATAAAATTTAAGAGAGAATGGCTGAGAGTGCAGTAACCTTCCTGCTCAATCACCTGACCATCTTCCTTCAACAAGAGTCAAAACTCTTGGGAGGAATAAGAGAAGATGCTGAGTACATTAAAGATGAATTGGAGCGTATGAGAGCTTTCCTCAAAGTAGTAGTTGCAAATGAAGAGATTGACCCAGAGCTCCAAGTATGGGTTAAGCAAGTGCGTGAAGTTGCCCATGACACCAAAAATGTTCTAGATGAATTCATGTTCCACATAGCATGTTACCATGGGGATGGATTCTTTGGCTTTCTTCGTAAGATTTCTTGCTCTATTAAGACCTTGAAAGCACGCCATCGAATTGCTTCTCAGATACACACAATACGATCTAGAGTGAATCAAATTGCTGAGGGACATCAGAGATACCGTTACAAATTCAACATCTCAGAGCACGGCTCAAGCTCCAACACGGTCAACAGCACATGGTATGATCGTCGAAGTGACGCACTTCTACTCAAAGAAGCTGAGCTGGTAGGCATTGATAGGCCAAAGAAGCAGCTGATTGGGTTGCTTGTGGAGGACACCCCAAGACTCAAAGTTGTTTCGGTGATGGAAATGGGGGGATAGGAAAAACCACCCTAGTAAAGAAACTTTAGGATGATATAGAAGTGAAGAATCAGTTTCAAATCCATGCTTTGATCACTGTTTCTCAATCCTTTGATCTCAAAGAGTTCTCAGAGATTTAATTTGACATCTCTTTGATGAAGTCATGAAACCGGCTCCTCAAAGATTGGAAGCCACAGACAACAATAACCTGAAGGCACAACTCAAGGACTTCCTCCAACAGAGAGGGTACGTGATTGTTCTTGATGATGTGTGGAGTATAAATGCATGGGATGCCTTAAAATATACATTGCCTGACAACAATTGTGGCAGTCGAATACTGCTCACATCACGCATTGGTAGTGTAGCTTCTACCTCTTGCGTAGAATCCCATGGTAACATCTATGCTGTGAAGGCATTGTCTCCAAAAGAGTCTTGGATTCTATTTTGTTGGAAGACCTTCCAAGAGAACTACTACCCTCCACATTTAGAGGAACTCTCACAAAGTATCTTGAAAAATGCGAGGGCTTGCCCCTTGCAATTGTGGCAATTGGTGGGGTTTTGGCTACCAAAGACAAGAATAGAATGGATGAATGGGAAATGGTTCTGCGCAGCCTTGGTGCAGAATTGGAAGGCAGAGACAAACTTTAGAGTATGAAAAAAATACTCTCTCTCAGTCACAATGATTTGCCTTATTATCTTAAAATTTGTTTCGTATACTTCAGCATATTACCAGAGGATTATCATATTAAGAAAATGAAATTGATTCGGCTATGGACTGCGGAAGGATTTGTAGAAGCGAAAGAAGGGAAGACTTCAGAAGAAGTTGCGGAAGGCTACCTTAATGAGCTTGTTAATAGAAGCTTGGTCCAAGTGGCAACGATATGTTACAATGGAAGGCTTAGAAGGTGCCGCATCCATGACCTTTTCCGTGACATTATTATTTCAAAGTCAATAGAACAAAGCATTGCAGCGATCGTTGGTGAAGAAAACACAAGGTGGCCGGAAAAAGTTCGCCGCCTATCAATCCACTATACCTTGGGAAACTTGCAGCAAACAAATCATTTTTCTCAACTTCGATCGTTGCTAATGTTCAAAGTGGCAGAGCCTCTGTCTAAGTCATCAATGCCTGTATTATTCAATCGTGGTTTGAGGTTGTTGAAGGTTTTGGACCTGAGAGGTGCTTCTTTAGAGACAGTTCCAAATGAAGTAGTCAAATTATTTCATCTACGGTATTTAAGCTTGAAGAGAACAAAGATCAGAACTCTTCCCAACTCCACTGGAGAACTTGAGAACCTTGAAACGTTGGATCTTAAGGACACCTATGTAATGGAGTTTCCTATTCAGATCCTAAAGCTCCGACGACTTCATCATCTCTTGGTGTATCGCTACACTTATGAAGCTTATCAACCTTTCCACGGAATACTTGGTTTTAAAATGATCGTGGGAATAGAAGGTTTGCCTTCCTTACAAAAACTTTGTTCTATCGAATTGAACCATGATAATAGTAGAATTGTAGTGGGAGTGCTAGGGAGGCTGACCCATCTGAGGAAATTATGTATTACAAAGTTGAGAAGACAAGATGGGATGGCTTTGTGCCCCTCCATTGAAAAGCTGAGCAACCTTCGCTCGTTGAATATAGGTTCAGTAGAAGAGGATGAGATCATTGATATTCAATCTTTGTCTTTGCCTCCTCGATTTCTTCAACGATTCAATTTAGAGGGACATTTAGAGAAGTTACCACACTGGATAACTTCTCTTCATAGCCTGACGAGACTATGTTTAGGTTGGAGCAAATTAATGGATGATCCTTTAGAATCACTTCAATATTTGCCCAACTTGGTAGAGCTTGAACTTCGTGCTTGAACTTCATCAGGCTTATGAAGGGAGGGAATTGTGTTTCAAGACTGGAAGGTTTCAGAAGATAAAGATATTGTGGCTTGTAAGCTTACAAGAATTGAGGTGTGTCAGTGTGGAGGAAGGCTCAATGCCACTTCTTAAATCACTATATATTACTAACTGTGAATTGGAAGTGCTCTCGGGCATTGAACATCTAAGCAACCTTAAATTCCTTCGCCTATATGATATGCCCGAGAAACTGTTTATGGCATTGGATCCCTCACAAACAAGGTGTGGATTACTGGAAAATAGAACACATTCCCAAAGTTTGGATTGGAGCTCTAAAAGATGGTAATTGGGAAGGATATTACCTAGAGTGAGAGAACAGAATGACAGAGAGAAAGTAATATGACCAGGTTAGTATGTGTGTGTGTATATGTGTTAATTTATTTATATGCATACGTGTATATGTTTGCAAATCATTTATATGATATTGATTGTTGTCAGTTTCAATAGCAAATGAATGGTCAGTTTATCAAAATATATTAAAATTAGAATTGGAATTCAATAACAAATCAATTCCAAAGTTTATTTAAACGATGAATTTGGGATTACATTGTTGAACTCCAAATTCAATGAAATTGCAGTTTGAATGCAATTTCAATTCTGCATAACTAAACACATGCTTAGTGAAATATGATGTTGGAGTGTCGTCTTGATTGTCCACTAAACCTAATAGGATATATATTTAACTTTCTCCAAGTATATGTCTTTTAGTTTATTTCCTCAACCTTAACATCTTAATATACTTGGAATATGACAATGAAAATGACATTGTCTCAGGAACGGAAGCTGTGGAAAGACGGTATTGCATTGGAATTAAAGGATTCAACATTAGCCAATTCGTGTTCTGTACACCAGTTGTTGAGAACTTCATGTCCTTTTCATGCTCCAAGTATTTAATTTGGTAATAGCTTTGAGTATTTTAACTAATTTTGTTCAGCGTTGGAATATACGTAATAATGGAACTCTGTATTTTCATATTCCAAGAAGCCGTAAGATTAATCGTTCAGTGGGATTTAACCTAGGATGATGCTAAAAGTTACATTCAAAAGTGCGCTGCTTCTTCTTTGAGCTGAGTTCCAGGAGCGGCCAGCATGCTATTCTATCTAAGTCATCTATCTTTGAGTGGTCTTTTATTCCATCTCCTGTGAGAGATGCTCTGTTTGTTTTTCTAAATAATAATAATAATTGAAGCTTGTTTAAAGTCACTATGATACTAGTCTGCAGCTACATACATACATGATCATTATACTTATCAAAAAAAAAAATACATGATCATTATGAAAATCATGTAGTTTTGTTTACCATAGTTCACTTGGAATGTTATGAAATGAAGAAATGATTGATATTATTGCAGAGAGGGGGGGCGTGTGTTCCTATCTTTTCAATGCTGTTAATTGGATGAATTTCGCACACAAAGAGAGCCAGGGAGGAAGAGAGAGTTACTATGAACATGAATATTTGAGGCAAAGTTGTTTCCATCTACTTCTTATAAGTGCCTAGCTATGGACAATTGAGGCAGATTTAAAAAGTGACCCAATGCAGCTTCAATATTGATTATTTTCACCATATTTTTGTGCATGTCTCTATCTTGCTTCACGGCTAGAGTTCCAAATGAAGCCAATCATCTGCACTATGGCAATAAAACCCGAAGTGGGTTTTGAAGTCAAGTTGTACAATGAGGTCCATAAATTGTATTTATGCCTATATTTAAGAATTGTTTTGTGGTAGCATGACAAATCACTTTTAGCCATCATTTTAGCATGTTTATTTAATCTAAAAGAATGTTATGTTCGAGTCTTTTGCATGTTGTTATTTCCTTATTATACCAATTGGATAAATTGATGTATCTCAAGGTCAAGTCTAAGGTTCCAATGAGAATATGAAATGTTTATTTTGTCGAGAAGTTAAATATGATGTTAAAGTGTCGAAAACCCTAATGCTGCGTTTGGTATGCAGGAATAGAGTGAAATGCAAGTGGGAATGGAATGAGAATAGGAATGGAATGGAATGATCATTCTCATTTTATTGTTTGATTGCAAATATGAAATGTTATAGGAATGGAATGATAATAATCATTCTAGTGTTTGGTTGGACCAATTTAAAACCTAGAATGGAATAAATTTTAAATTCGACTATCGAAAATACCCCGACAAATAAATTAAATTAACAAAATAACATTCTTTTTTATTTTTTTTCAAAGAAATGGTGGCGGCAGTGGATGGCGGGGACAATGGTGGTGGAAGTGGAAGGAAGCAGTGGTGTAGGTGGTGGTGTTGGAAGCGGTGGTAATGGTGGAGGAAGCCGGTGGCAATGGCCAGGGGTGGAGCCAGGAATTTGGTTCAAGGGGGCATGTTAACACTGACAAGATAATTTTTTTTTCAAACAAGCCGAAAATATAATAGCGTAACAACAGTGTATTAGAATAAGTGAATAAAAAATTAATAAGAAGAGGGGGAAAATAAAAACAAAAACAAAAACAAAAAAAAAAAAAAGAAGAAGCTTTTTGCACATAAATTATGCATGAGTGCAAGAAAAAAGAAATTTTTAAGAAGAAAAAGAACATTTTTAAGAAGAAAATGAAATAAAAAGATAAAAAATATGAGAGAATTTTGAAGGAAAAATAGATTTTAATTGTAAAAAGAGAATGCAAAAGTTTTTTAGATGACAAAAAGAAATTTGAAGAATAAGAAGGAAAAGGAATAAAGAATTAAAGACGTTTTTAGAAAAAGATAATTTTATTGGGATAATTTATAAATTTTATGGGGGTATTTTATAAATATTTACAAATTATAAAAATTATCTTTATAATACAAATTTTACAAATTATACAAATTTTATGGGCGGTGGTGGTGGCAATGACGGTAGTGGAAGGCAGTGGAAGTGGTGGCCATGACGGTGGTGATGGTGGTGGAAGGTAGCAGTAGTGGTGGTGGCGGCAATGACGATGGTGAAAGGCGGTGGAGGTGGTGGTGGTGGTGGAAGATGATGGTGATGGCGGTGGTGGTGGCAATGACGATGGTGGTAGGCAAACAAGAATCAAACAACCAAAATTTATTAACTGATCCAATAAGTGGATTACTATGTAACAACAGAGTGCAACAAACCGGAACCACAATTGCAACTGCTTTATTCAGAAATAAATTTTCAGAAACTCATCAACAATTCCAAAATTAAAGGTTTATAGTTTCACATTAAAGGTTTATAGTTTCACATCTTGATCTAAGCTAACCTAACGACAAATCAAATCGGCAAATAGCCCAAATCTATCGAAAAGAAATTATAAATTCCTAAACAAAATCGAGTTAACCCCAATAATCCAATGACAAATAAATGGGTGAAACCCTAAGAAAATTTCCTAGTATCGAATTTTAAATCAAGCATAACTTCACAAATCAAGTATTGCCATCTCAGAATTTAGCACCCAATAGAACCAATAATGATAAGGGGTAATTTATGTTATATATATTTGGTTCAAATCAAATCAGCTAAAATAGAATAAGAACTGATTAACAAATTATTAAGGAAATAGATAGAGAAACACGTGAATTAATTAATACCCAGATCAGAAAATAAAGCAATCTACTAAGAAAATGAAATTTCACACAAACTATAATTCAAAGTAATATAGAGAGATTAGAGAGGTGCTTACAAGTGCACTTTGAGTTCAACAGTGACCACAGAGATGCATACCCATCATATTTGGGTCTTCACCTCCCAAAGGAACAATTCACTCAAAGGGTATTCTCTGATCGAGGTTTTGTCTCCCCCTCTCTCTCCCTCTAGAGGGTAGAGAGAGTGCGTGCATGCCAGGGTGGATGATGAGGTCACTTGGCGTGATGGGCATTCTCTGTTCGAGGTTGTTCGAATTAATGTACTCCAATTTGATTTGCTGGAGTGAATTATGGCAACTGAATGTTTTTATTGATTATTTATGGAAGTGTAGGGTCTATTTTTTAATTTATTACATAGATAATTAATTAAAATAAAAGTAAGTCTGATAATTGGCAGCAATAAATTGGTGTAAGTACCAATTTTCTTCTTTCTTTCTTTCTTGTACTGGTAATGTGAAAGTGTTGGGAGTTTTCTTTTGTAGAACACCGGTTCCAAGAAATGTGTCGGGAGGGTTGGAACCCGTGTGTGGACAAAAGAGTGTGTGAGAAGGTGAGTCACAGTTTTTATATTTTTCACGAATATTGTATTTGTGGAAACTCAAATTCTCTAATTTTTAGATTAAAATGAAAGAAAATACTGCATAGGCAAACAGTTTATATGAATGGGGGCATTTCTCGTCAAAGTAAAAGTAAGTGTCACATTCGGAGAAACTCGAACTCTCTAATTTTCATATTAAAATAAGAAAAAATGTTTTTAGGTTGTTATTGGAGCATGGAATTGGAGCCTTAAAATTGATGAAGTTAGAGAAAATTTTGTTTCAATTTTCTAAGTTGTTTTTTTCAAATTATAATTTCAAATCCAAAGTTTCAATTTCCTCCGCTCCAAACATAGCCTTAATCAGTCTTGGCCCCTTGAAAATTTTTCATTACACCAGTAAGATTGAAGTATAAAAAGATGTCATGATTTTGATAAATGAATGATTTGATAAAAACTTTATTTAATTAACTGTTTCAAAAGAAATACAAAATAATTTTTATTATTTTCAAAAAGCTACTGTATATATTGAAAAGGAAATTGATATCAACAAATTACTAACTACACTGCCATAAGCACTCTCTTTTGTTTAATTTTTGTCACAAATCAACTTTTCAAGATTTCCTTTCCATATTATTATTATTATCTATTATTTGAAAGAAGAAATTAAAAAAAAAAAAAACAACTTCAATAAAATAATAATAAGTAAATAAATAATCCCTTTGAATTGCACCGGAGGTAAGGCTCTAACTCGAGCAGTTGGACGGGTTTGAAATATAACTTGAACCTAACCCACCATATGAAATGTTAAACTCAAATCCAAACCTAACCGTATCATCAACCTTAACTACTCAACCCAAACCCAATCCATCCTTCTACTTTTAAATTTGGGCTTGTAACTCGGCCTTAGATTCCGGATAAAAACTTCGGGTTAATTCAAATTACTCGTATGACTAATCTTTACACCAAAAATTTAATATGATCTTGAATTAGTTTTAGATTAAATTATTCTTAAACAAGAAAAAGTTTAAAGTCTTTTTGTAAATTTTTAATAAATTACAACCAAATTTTTAAAAAATTAATTCTCCTAAATATTAACATATAATAAGTTAATATTTAACAAAAAAAAGTTGGAAAAAAAAAAAAAAAAAAAAAAAGTAATCATATTTAAATATTATGTAACGACCCGAACCTAGGGATCTGAATCGCTAACTGAGTCCTTACCCGAACCCGAGGTCACGCAAGGATACCACGTTCATTTCCCATTAAATTAATACTTTAATGCCCAACAAGGGCAAAATGGTCATTTAAATATAATTACAATGGTTTAAAACCTAAAAGGGTAAAATGGTCATTTATTAAGATCATCCAATGATTATGATGAAGTCTGGAGTAATACAATCATTCCCTTGGCTAAAATATAGTTAATATAATTTATCGGTCCATTTAGTAAATACTCGCAACTTTAAATGAGTGATAAAGGGTAATTAGGAAAAACTAAATCACAAATGTGTAAAACAGGAACCGCATGGGTCATCCACAGTGAGATTGCTCACTGCCCAAAAATAAGAGATACCGGTTAACGTGTGGGAAGTTACACGTCAACTGGTTATAGTGAGTCGGTCGACGTGAACCCTTTCACGTTAACCGGTTTGTTGCCGTGTACAATGGAAAAGCATATTGTCCAAAATTTGGACATACCGGTCAATGTGTGGGTACTTACACATCGATCGAAACTTCCCAAATTTGTGTGTCTTTGCTCCTTATTTGGCCAATCAATATACAGTCAATTATACCCACTGTAATACCCCTCGACTCCGAGACATTGGTTAATCAAGCCCAAGCCTAAACCTGAGGAAATATCAAACAATTAAAGTATTGAACAAGTATTGAATACAAAACGAATTAAGAATAAAGAATAAAGCTGAAAGATAACTAAATAATAAATCCTTAAATAATTAATCCAATAATAATCCTCCAATGAACTCAATCCTCTGATACCAGTAATTGATTAAAATTAAAACTTGAGAATCCATCATGTGGACCCCTAATCCAAAGTCTAAATGAAATAATTAAATCCAAAACTAAAACATAAAGAAGGAAAACCCTACGTAGAGTCGAAGGAGTGAATAAACCATCTCTACTCAGCACGAACAATCCCTAAGCCTGTAATTTGACCGGTTTGTTGCACTACCATCAAGTTTAGATAGTGTGAATTTTAGGCGAGGGCCAAGAGTTTTACATTTATGAAAGCCACTACTACCTTTCACTATAAATATAGCTAGGGCGAGTAGGGATCGTCCCAAGGGATTGTGAGGGTCGAACAAGGTTGTGGAATCACTATTAGGGCTAGTAGGTCGAGTGATCAAACAATTGGTTGGTTGGTTGATTAGACTAGAGAGCAACTAAATTAAACTAAGTAATAACGAAATAATGCAACTAAGAACAAATAAGAGAGAGAAGAGTCTTGGGGTTTAGAGATCACCACCAAGCAATGCATTTCCATACCATTGGCAAGTAACTAATGAGGGCAAATGGTGTGTTGCAATATTGGTGTGTGTGTGTTTGGTTGATTTAACAAGTAAGGATGACTAGTTAAGCATGTATTATCTAAACATCATGTGAAAGGCACAATATATCTAAACAATGAAGCATATATTTTTTAAACAACATGTGAAAGGCACAATAGATCAAAACAAGTCATTAATCCTTTCATTAAGCTCACAATCCAAATACAACACAAGGTTAGAGACATATGTTACTTGCATTCAAAAACTTGGATCATCAAACAACAAGCATGGATTGTTCTCCCATTTAACACTACACTGCAACTACACTACATTTACACTACTAGCATGAAAATAAACTAGGGGAGAGGCACAATTTATCAAGGAATAAGTATGAACCATCAAGAAAATCACAAGAGCATTCCATTAAGCACTATGTTTTGACAATCTCTAAATCTATAGCATCAATACACATAGACATGCATTACTAACACAAAATCTAGGGACAAGCACATGAACATCTATTCTAACATACATAGACATGTGGATAGAATGAAATGATCAATTGAAAGCATTTAACCACATAAATCATTGAACAATCAAGATATATATATATCAAAGTGTCAAAACATTAATTACAACACTAATCCCTCGATAATACACAAAATTAAGATAAAGAAAGCATGCTTGGGGCTAACTCTAGCCCCAAGAGGATGTCTAGCCACTCATGGTGATGTTGCTCTAACCCTCAAGGGCTAACTCCATGGAAGAAATCTGCTCCTTGTTGATGAAGAACTCTAAATGGTATCTCTAGCCTCCTCCTCTTTTCTTCTACACTAAAGCTTGCCTCCTTTGAGAATAATCCTTAGAATTGTATATATCTCAAAAAGTGCATCATATTCTTTTTATAGGTAGGTTAAGTGACACACCAAATGAGCTGGGGTCGTGCAAAGAATATTCTCTAATGATTGGATAGAGGACGGATTAAACAACCTGGCTTTTTAACTTTTTCGCACTGGAGGAAGTTCGATCGATTGAACCTTGGACTTGGATCGATCGAACTTGGCTGAGATCTATCGAATTGAGGCTGGATCGATCCAACTGGTTGAGCTTTTTGAGAAAAGACAAATCCAAGATATTTTGGGAGATATTTTTGGGAAAAGGACAAAAGTGGTTAGTGGGTGGTACAGTTGTGGATAAGATCAATCATTTGAATAAGGACAAAAGTGTTCGATCGATCGAAGGGTGGTGTTGGATTGATCTAACTTTAGACTTTCTGCTTTAGGTCAAGGTTTGGATCTATCTTGAAGTACTGAGATCGATCAGTGTTCGATCGATCGAACCTTGAAGTTGGATCGATCAGTGTTTGATCGATCGAACCTTGAAGTTGGATCGATCGAACTTTGTTGTTTCCCACCTTTGGCTTCATTTGCTTCTTTCTTTCTCCACTTTGCTCCTTTCTTTGTTTAATCCCAGAATTGCTTCAATTAAGCTCTTATTTGGCTGAGTTAGCTTATTTTTGGGATAAGTACCTGAAAATAGAAATAATACGAAATCAATCTAAAACGGTAGAGTAAGATAGATAAAGGTACTAGAATGCCTAAGCTTAAGGGGTTTAAATACGCACTTTCCAGCGCTCATCACACCCCCAAACTTAAATATTGCTAGGCCCTAACAATAAACTAGAAGGTAAATGAATGAAATGAACAACTATACAAGTATGAATTTAGAAAACAATAAATGGATAATGCCACTTTCGTAGAGAACACGATTGCACTTAGCACGTGCAACAAGCCTTTTAAACCCCTAAGTTACCCTTAGTGGACGAGTGATGTCTCGTGAGGGTTTTCAGAAATGATACCCACAAACATTAAGCTCATTCTTTCAAAAGAGGTACCAATATTTGCAAACAAGCATTAGGAGAAAACTACCTCAAGTATGCAATTTTTCAAACATTTTCGAGTAATCTCCCAAAATCTCAATATCAAGCAAACAAATATGATCCTCCACACATCAAGAAAATAATCATGCAAATCAAAACAACTCTAGAATTCTTTTGATTGGATCGGCATCAAATATGTTGTTATTTTAGCCAACTAAAGAATTAATCACATCTTTACCCTCAAACTAGCACACAAATCTAGTATCGATCATCAAGACAAAAAAAGTGGACCTTTTATTAAAACTTTATTGTTCTAGGTGCGCTTATTCTTTTCACTTGATATATATATATATATATATATATATATATATATATATATATATATATATATATATATTATAGGATCAAAGATGGAAGCATGGTGCAATGTGTTGATCTATTAAGCTTTCTAGTGATTCATGAGGTCGAGCGTTAGGTCAATGACTCACAAATCAGACGACTTTAGGGCATTAAGCATTCAAATACTCCTACGGACTTATAAGCTCAAATCAACTAGGCTACAAATCAAGACAACAACCATCTAATCATTTCCCACTTTTCACCATTTGGGAGAAGTCATCACTTTTTATTACTTTTGCTTTTTGCTC